CAGTTGTTACTGCTGTTGTTGTAGTTGTTGCTGCTGCTGTTGGTGTTGTTGTTCCTGCTGTTGTTGTTACTGCTGTTGGTGTTGTTGCTGCTGTTGGTGTTGTTATTGTTGCTGATGCTGTTGTTACTGCTGTTGTTGGTGTTGTTGTTGCTGCTGCTGTTGTTGCTGCTGTTGTTGTTGCTGCTGTTGTTAGGGCTCCAAGCTATAAATGACAAAAAGCCCTGTTGTAATTGTTTGAAACTGTTAAGTATATCTTGTAGAAACTTGGTACACACATCAATGACATGGTGAATTGGTTCCCTTTGATCATATACGATAAAAAAAAAATATATTGAATAGCATTTTTTATTTCTTCTTTTATTTTCTTTAAACTGAAGGTATTCAAAAGCAATGAACTGAAATTAGATATAACCGTCTAAACTACATTTTGCAAAATGAACAAGACGTCATCTCATGAATATTCATTGCTGTTTGTTACTCTACCTTGTTTTACCAGAGATAACTCAACAACCTGGACATCCTATTATGTGACATTGTTTTGCGGCCATGTTAGATCGGAGGATGTGCTGATACATTTTACCATTTGTCAGTGTAAACAAAATCTACTCTGATGAAACATCGTGCTAAATGCCTTCAAATATTTTGTTTTTCCTGCACCATGCTGAAAGCAGCTTACTAATGACAATCATGACAGTGTGCAACAGCTGGTAGATTTGACTTGATTCTGTGGAGTGTCTCCACTGTATTGATGGGGTAACAAGGCTTCAAATACAAAAGTATAAAGCATCAATAAAATATGTCAATACCCATGTTATCTGTTTTTACAGCAGATCAAGGGAGTTTTTAACCTATAAAAAGGAATTGCTATGAACTTCACTATGTACATTCACCAAGAGCCATAAAATTTCCAAAACTGCTAGAAACATAATTCAAACAGGAAGTATAGTCAAACCTCACTTTTGCAGACTAATCTACAACAGATTCAGTAAATTAAAAACATGACCCGATACTGACCATGATAGACTTGATACTGACCCAATACTGACCTCATACAGACCTGATACTGACCTGATACAGACTTGATACAGACCTCATACAGACCTGATACTGCCCCAATACAGACCCGATACTGACCTGATACAGACCCGATACAGACCATGATACAGTCATCATACAGACCTGATACTGCCCCAATACAGACCCGATACTGTCCCAATACTGACCTGATACAGACCCAATACAGACCCGATACTGACCCAATACTGACCTGATACAGACCCAATACAGACCTGATACAGTCCATCATACAGACTTGATACTGACCATGATACTGACCCAATACAGACCACAATACAGTCCCGATACTGACCCAATACAGATCCGATACTGACCTGATACAGACCCAATACAGACCCGATACAGACCATGATACAGACCCTCATACAGACCCGATACAGACCATGATACAGTCCTCATACAGACCTGATACTGCCCCAATACAGACCCAATACTGACCCAATACTGACCTGATACAGACCCGATACAGACCATGATACAGACTTGATACTGACCATGATACTGACCCAATACAGACCACAATACAGTCCCGATACTGACCATGATACAGACCAGATACTGACCATGATACAGACCAGATACAGGCCTGATTCAGACCCAATACTGACCCGATACTGACGTCATACAGACCTGATACTCACCCGATACTCACCTGATACAGACCCACTATTTAGAGCCTTAGTTATGTTGACTTGAGATATATTTGTGTGACATGAGACGTGTAGGTGCATTTACATGAGCTGCTGTGTTGTTTCATGAGGAGGCCCACTCACTCACTCAGCCAGCCCATAAATACAAGCCACAATACAGTTATATATCTCAGCATGGTGGCAAGCAGTATATATAGTTTGTTATTAACTGATGCCTGTATTTCACGTAGTTTCTGGGATAACCATTTGATGAGAGGGGAGGATAGTGGTTTAAAAATCTTTTAAAAAAATGCTAGGAAAAGTCCTGTTTGCATTTCCCCAAAAATGTCCCCCATGGTGGATGTCCTGAGGTGTGATGTAACTCCTCCTTCCAGGGTAAAGTCTTGCATCTCTTGACGCTCTAACTCCTCCAGTTGGGCCTGTTCAAAACATGCTGGTGACACTATGTGACTTTAACCCTGTTGGTGGGTCCCAGGGTCGTTACCTTCTCACTGTGGAGTGCACCATGAAGCTGGTGACATTATCCATTGTGCCCTGTTATCATCCATTATTCCTTGACACAATCCATTATTCCATGACACAATCCATCTTTCCATCATATAATCCATTATTCCTTGACACAATCCATTATTCCTTGACACAATCCATTATTCCATGACACAATCTATTATTCCATGACACAATCTATTATTCCATGACACAATCCATCTTTCCATCACATAATCCATTATTCCATGACTCAATCTATTATTCCATGACACAATCCATCTTTCAATCACATAATCCATCGTTCCATGACACAATCCATCGTTACATGATATTGCATCCCAGACTTATCTCTCAGACTCTGTCTCTCAGTTGTTTGAATGCAGACCAAGACTCAGACAAAACTATCAATGTATATTTAAGAAATAAAGTTCGCTCTACCCCAATGTGTTTTGTAATAAAGTATAGTTTTGCCCTGAACTATTATAATTAAAGCACGAGGACGGTAGTCCGAGTGCTTTGATGTTATAATAGTTCAGGGCAAAACTATACTTTACTTTATTACAAAACACATTGGGGTAGAGCTTAACTTTATCTTTCTAAGATGCTAAATTTAATACTTTCTAAGGATAATTACGATTAATTTAAGGCAGAAAACAAATGATTATGTCGGTGACCTAAATTAAGAATCCTCGCACAGGGCTAACTGGTGCGCTGTTCTATTGATGTGTCTGCCCCTACGTTAAGACTAACGCTACCAGAAAAACAAATGATAACAGTTTGATGACGGTTTACGTTCGGATTAAATATCTTCTCTGAATTATTTTAATTACATCTGTCATTAACGTAAACCATATGGGGCAATATCAACGTCGCATTTCTTCTACCAACGTAAGTTTAGATCAGTACATCCAGATGAAGCGGAATAGTCAAGCGACATTCCACGATTGCATTGTGGGAATGTAAACATTGCGAACGTTACCGTGTCGCTGAAAACTTGTGAGTCGAATTGACACATTTTAACCGTCGTAAAACATAAACGTAATGTTTCCACCAGTGATGTTAGCTGCGTGAAGCAACTGCAAACCAAGAAACGGGATGCAACGGAGTAGTTTACTGTAGGAGGCCGTACGAGGCGATGACAACTGACATGCATCGTGACGTCACTTACATTGTGACGTAATGTAAAATAATTCGATTACGAGGGGGCACACTAGAATGGCGCAGTGACGGGATAACGTCATTCAATTGTTACGTCATCATAAAACTATGCCTTTATTGTCTCATAATGTTTTTTTTTTCGATTGTTCTAACAGCTAGGCATCTTAGAATATAGATTAAAGTATGTGTTTTCAGGTTTTACGGCTTTTTGTACCCATGACCTAAAAGGAATTTGTCCAAAACATTTGTTCAACCAAAAACTCAAAAACTACTGCTTCCATTGTTGTCAAATATGTGGACCACGTCCTTTGTCTGAAGGAGAGAAGTAAATGTTGATTATGTTTTCATTTTTTTAAAGAATTACATCCATTAAAAAATTGAACTTACAAATGTTTGTTCAACGAGTAACTTGAAAAGTATTGGTCAAAATATTTTCAAATTTGGAAAAATAGCTTTCTCTAATGGAGGGGTGCGGTGCAAAGTTTGGATTCAATCTTCTCATTTTTGAAATAGCTAGTGAATTTTGTTTAAAAAAACCTTTAACTTTAACATACTGGAATGGATTTTTTTCAAATTTGGGGATCACCGTCCATATCTATGGGAGATATGCAGAGCAAATTTATATTGTGATATTTTGTTCATTTATTTAGAATTATTATAAATAACATCTCTTGAACATGGGAAAAGTCCCACATCCAACTTTATAATCATTTAATAAACTGTTTTCAGATTTCAGTAATGGCTTCTTTGTGTACAGGAAAGGTGGAGTAAGAAACAGATCTTGTATTTTTGGCAAGAATGGTCATTAGGATTTGTTGTTCAGCTGAAATTGAGATTCATGGTCAGGTGTGTAACTGTATTTGGGCTCGTTTAATGTCAGAAGTCCAGAAAGTTTGACCTTTGAAATCCCAGACTCACTCTGCCGATTACATGTTGCATCATTAAAATAGGTCTAAAATTTGTTATTTGGTTTAGATTATTTTTTCCGGAGCTCTGATGTGTTCAGAATTGCATTCAATACAACTATGTGTGACTCAGAGTGCAATTTCTTCACCTATTGGTCCTGTCATCAGTGGAATACAAATGTTCGGAACACAACAGTAATTGAATAGCAGGAATTGTGAAGTTCCACACTTGGGACATATAAGCCATAAAATCTTAAAGGCACTATTTACGTAAATTTCTAACATGTTTTCTTGCCATCATATTGGACCCGTGAAGATCCGGGTCAGAATTTAACTTCAGTAACCCATGCTTGTCGTAAGAGGCGACTAACAGGATCGGGTGATCAGACCTTCTGACTTGGTTGACTCAATTGCGTAGATCAATGATCGTGCTGTTGATCACTGGATTGTCTGGTCCAGACTGGATTATTCACAGACCGCCGCCATATTGCTGGAATATTGCTGAGTGCGGCGTAAAACTAACCCCACTCACTCACTTTCTATCATATTGAATATTTGAATAATAGATTCTGTTGTGAAAAATATTTCAAATTTGCTGATTCAGTCAGAGGTGGTTATTGTGATTCAAACCCTCTGACCTTCAAATGTTCTGGGAAAATGAGTGTGAGATAGATCTGAGAGGCATACTGTACATTGTGTATAACATGGCTGTCTGTGGCAGATGGAGAACATCATCAGTGGAGTCAAAGAGACAAATTTAAAACTGACGTTGGCTTTTGGGATCGGCATCCATCATGCAGGGCTGGTTGAGAGAGATCGCAAGATCTGTGAGGAGCTCTTTGTGAATCAGAAGATACAGGTGAGTAGGACCAAATACTACAGGTCTGTTGCATGATGAATACTATGAGTGTCTACCCAAAACTACAGGACTGATACAGGTGAGTTGGGCTGACCGTACTGGTGAGTTGGACTGATGACACAGGTGAGTTGGGCTGACCGTACTGGTGAGTTGCACTGATGACAGTTTATGACAGGGGTGTCAGTGTAGCCAAAGTTTAGGTGTAGTGACAGTCTATGACAGGGGTGTCAGTGTAGCCCAAGTTTAGGTGTAGTGACAGTGTATGACAGAGGTGTCAGTGTAGCCCAAGTTTAAGTGTAGTGATGGTTTATGACAGGGGTGTCAGTGTAGCCCAAGTTTAAGTGTAGTGATGGTTTATGACAGAGGTGTCAGTGTAGCCCAAGTTTAAGTGTGGTGATGGTTTATGACAGGGGTGTCAGTGTAGCCCAAGTTTAGGTGTAGTGACAGTGTATGACAGAGGTGTCAGTGTAGCCCAAGTTTAAGTGACAGTTATGACAGAGGTGTCAGTTTTTATGTACAGGGGTGTCAGTGTAGCCCAAGTTTAGGTGTAGTGACAGTGTATGACAGAGGTGTCAGTGTAGCCCAAGTTTAAGTGTAGTGATGGTTTATGACAGAGGTGTCAGTGTAGCCCAAGTTTAAGTGTAGTGATGTTTTATGACAGGGGTGTCAGTGTAGCCCAAGTTTAAGTGTGGTGGCAGTTTATGACAGGGGTGTCAGTGTAGCCCTAGTTTAAGTGTAGTGACAGTCTATGACAGAGGTGTCAGTGTAGCCCTAGTTTAAGTGTGGTGATGGTTTATGACAGGGGTGTCAGTGTAGCCCAAGATTAAGGTTGGTGGCAGTTTATGACAGGGGTGTCAGTGTAGCCCAAGTTTAGGTGTAGTGATGGTTTATGACAGGGGTGTCAGTGTAGCCCAAGTTTAGGTGTAGTGACAGTGTATGACAGAGGTGTCAGTGTAGCCCAAGTTTAGGTGTAGTGATGGTTTATGACAGAGGTGTCAGTGTAGCCCAAGTTTAAGGTTGGTGGCAGTTTATGACAGGGGTGTCAGTGTAGCCCTAGTTTAAGTGTGGTGATGGTTTATGACAGGGGTGTCAGTGTAGCCCAAGTTTAAGTGTAGTGACAGTCTATGACAGAGGTGTCAGTGTAGCCCAAGTTTAGGTGTAGTGACAGTGTATGACAGAGGTGTCAGTGTAGCCCAAGTTTAGGTGTAGTGATGGTTTATGACAGAGGTGTCAGTGTAGCCCAAGTTTAGGTGTAGTGATGGTTTATGACAGGGGTGTCAGTGTAGCCCAAGTTTAGGTGTAGTGATGGTTTATGACAGGGGTGTCAGTGTAGCCCAAGTTTAAGTGTGGTGGCAGTTTATGACAGGGGTGTCAGTGTAGCCCTAGTTTAAGTGTAGTGACAGTCTATGACAGAGGTGTCAGTGTAGCCCTAGTTTAAGTGTGGTGATGGTTTATGACAGGGGTGTCAGTGTAGCCCAAGTTTAAGGTTGGTGGCAGTTTATGACAGGGGTGTCAGTGTAGCCCTAGTTTAAGTGTGGTTATGGTTTATGACAGGGGTGTCAGTGTAGCCCAAGTTTAAGTGTGGTGATGGTTTATGACAGGGGTGTCAGTGTACCCCAAGTTTAAGTGTGGTGGCAGTTTATGACAGGGGTGTCAGTGTAGCCCTAGTTTAAGTGTAGTGACAGTGTATGACAGGGGTGTCAGTGTAGCCCTAGTTTAAGTGTGGTGACAGTGTATGACAGGGGTGTCAGTGTAGCCCTAGTTTAAGTGTGGTGACAGTGTATGACAGGGTGTCAGTGTAGCCCAAGTTTAATTGTAGTGACAGTCTATGACAGGGGTGTCAGTGTAGCCCAAGTTTAGGTGTAGTGATGGTTTATGACAGTGGTGTCAGTGTAGCCCAAGTTTAGGTGTAGTGACAGTCTATGACAGAGGTGTCAGTGTAGCCCAAGTTTAAGTGTAGTGACAGTGTATGACAGGGGTGTCAGTGTAGCCCAAGTTTAAGTGTAGTGACAGTGTATGACAGAGGTGTCAGTGTAGCCCAAGTTTAGGTGTAGTGATGGTTTATGACAGAGGTGTCAGTGTAGCCCAAGTTTAGGTGTAGTGACAGTGTATGACAGTGGTGTCAGTGTAGCCCAAGTTTAGATGTAGTGACAGTGTATGACAGAGGTGTCAGTGTAGCCCAAGTTTAGGTGTAGTGATGGTTTATGACAGAGGTGTCAGTGTAGCCCAAGTTTAAGTGTAGTGATGGTTTATGACAGAGGTGTCAGTGTAGCCCAAGTTTAGGTGTAGTGATGGTTTATGACAGGGGTGTCAGTGTAGCCCAAGTTTAGGTGTAGTGATGGTTTATGACAGAGGTGTCAGTGTAGCCCAAGTTTAGGTGTAGTGATGGTTTATGACAGAGGTGTCAGTGTAGCCCAAATTTAAGTGTGGTGGCAGTTTATGACAGGGGTGTCAGTGTAGCCCAAGTTTAAGTGTAGTGACAGTCTATGACAGAGGTGTCAGTGTAGCCCAAGTTTAAGTGTAGTGATGGTTTATGACAGGGGTGTCAGTGTAGCCCAAGTTTAGGTGTAGTGATTGTTTCATGACAAAGGTGTCAGTGTAGCCCAAGTTTAAGTGTGGTGACAGTTTATGACAGGGGTGTCAGTGTAGCCCTAGTTTAAGTGTAGTGACAGTCTATGACAGAGGTGTCAGTGTAGCCCAAGTTTAAGTGTAGTGATGGTTTATGACAGGGGTGTCAGTGTAGCCCAAGTTTAGGTGTAGTGATGGTTTATGACAGAGGTGTCAGTGTAGCCCAAGTTTAAGTGTAGTGATGGTTTATGACAGAGGTGTCAGTGTAGCCCAAATTTAAGTGTAGTGATGGTTTATGACAGGGGTGTCAGTGTAGCCCAAGTTTAGGTGTAGTGATGGTTTATGACAGGGGTGTCAGTGTAGCCCAAGTTTAGGTGTAGTGATGGTTTATGACAGAGGTGTCAGTGTAGCCCAAGTTTAGGTGTAGTGATGGTTTATGACAGGGGTGTCAGTGTAGCCCTAGTTTAAGTGTGGTGATGGTTTATGACAGTGGTGTCAGTGTAGCCCAAGTTTAGGTGTAGTGATGGTTTATGACAGGGGTGTCGTGTAGCCCAAGTTTAGGTGTAGTGATGGCTTATGACAGGGGTGTCAGTGTAGCCCAAGTTTAGGTGTAGTGATGGTTTATGACAGTGGTGTCAGTGTAGCCCAAGTTTAGGTGTAGTGATGGTTTATGACAGAGGTGTCAGTGCAGCCCAAGTTTGGGTGTAGTTATGGTTTATGACAGAGGTGTCAGTGTAGCCCTAGTTTAAGTGTAGTGACAGTGTATGACAGGGGTGCCTGTAGACATTTCATCTCACAGAGTGACATTGGGTAGTGCCACGCAGTTATATTTTCTGTTTATGTCTGACATTCTGCCCTCTTCTGTTACAGGTCCTCATAGCAACCAGTACCTTAGCTTGGGGAGTCAACTTCCCTGCGCATCTGGTGGTTGTCAAGGGAACCGAGTACTTTGATGGGAAGACCTGCAGATATGTTGATTTCCCCATCACAGGTGAGATGCCTTCTGTGTATCATTTCCTTTGTCCGAGGTATTTTCCAATCCGATGACTTGTACGTCAATATGTTCAGGGATTTTATGGAGCTTCTTTCAATTGCTTTAATGACTTTCTTGATGATTTTTTAGTTACAATGAATATCTGAGGTAAATGTAAGAATAATGCTTGTGTTATACTGTAGTTTGCTTTGAAATGAGATTGACATTGATCAGTTTCAGAATGTATGGTTTGGGGGGTATTGTTTTATGAAATGTGGTATCTGTGTAATCTTGGATGGTCTCATGCATAAGATGATTAAAGAAAATGTTCTTAGATAGAAACACTGACGTCGAGTAAGGAACTGATGCAGTTAACTCATTATCTGATGCAGACCAACAATAGAACACAATGCATTACTGTTCAAAGCATTTTCTCAGTTATTCAATTCATAACTGACGTTAAATTTCCACCAAATGTGATATCTGACCAGCAGACTGTAGATATATCACAGTCAGTGCATATTGACACCCATGAGAAGTATGTCATGAAAAAGTTTCAAATACCTGGAACTAGCAAAGAAAGAGATCCGACTGAAATGGTCAAAGGGAGACAACTCTTGCCTGGCACTCTATGATTGCTTAGTAGGGAGATATACTGTGTGGGAAAAAGCAGCAGGTTTTCAGTGAGGATGATTCAGTGACCAGGTATGCAGCTTGGAAGCATGCTGTATAAACCCTCACTCAAACTGTGTAGCGATGACATCATTGGACTGTGACTAGCTGCGCTGTCCGCATGTTTCAGACGTCCTTCAGATGATGGGGCGAGCCGGCCGGCCGCAGTTTGATGACCAGGGCAAGGCGGTCATCTTGGTTCATGACATCAAGAAACATTTCTACAAGAAGTTCCTCTATGAACCATTCCCTGTTGAATCCAAGTAAGACATTCTCTGGTGTTAATATTGTGGTAGTCTTTATTGATTTGTGATCAAAAGTTTGGAAAGTTTAAAAAGTTGTAAGTTTAATGAACTTTCCTCACTTTGATGAGAGCTTTTCATGCTAAGATAGTGATTGTTTCAATAAGATGTGAGATGAATGTTTTGAGTTTCTAGTATGGAAGTATTGACTGTCATTGACCCCACCCTCTGGTGTGATTCCAATGTCTTATCTTTTGTACATACCATTACTGGTATGAGTACAGCCTAGGTAGGGAATTCATTACTGGTAGTGAGTCACTGGATGTCTACAATGTGTTAGGTTCAGGTTGTGTTCTCTACTGGGAAACCAACCAACTTCTGACACTTCACAACCACAACCAAACCAACTGACTGTTAGGTTCACAAACAACCAACTGACTGTTTGGTTCAGGCTGGATGTCTACTGTTTGGTTCACAAACAACCAACTGACTGTTTGGTTCACAAACAACCAACTGACTGTTTGGTTCAATGACTGTTAGGATTAGGTTCATATAACCAACTGACTGATCACAAACAACCAACTGACTGTTAGGTTCACAAACAACCAACTGACTGTTTGGTTCACAAACAACCAACTGACTGTTAGGTTCACAAACAACCAACTGACTGTTAGGTTCACAAACAACCAACTGACTGTTAGGTTCACAAACAACCAACTGACTGTTAGGTTCACAAACAACCAACTGACTGTTAGGTTCACAAACAACCAACTGACTGTTAGGTTCACAAACAACCAACTGACTGTTTGGTTTTGGCAACAAACACTCTTGTCAATGATTAATTATTTTTATGGTTTTCCTTTGGAATTTCTTACTTCGACTATTTCAACAATTATGTAATTATTGTAGTAAGCATGTAAGATGTTAGTACTGTGCGTTGCCGTTAGTCTGTAATCTCAAACCCATGTGATTAACCAAACATCAATTCATCTGAGACATAGAAATTATTGGAAATCAATTCAATATAATGGCATTCCCAAAGACATATGTCCCTACATTCCGGGTTAGAGGGAAACTGTCAACATTTGAATCTACTATCAACTTTCTCAAGCATAGTCCCCTTTAACAAAGAAAACTTCGTTTCATTTTCTTTTAAAAACTTTCTTTATATTTTCTTAGTTTACTGGAAGTACTACCTGACCATCTTAATGCCGAGGTTGTTGCCGGGACGATTGCATCGAAACAGGATGCCATGGACTATATCACGTGGACGTACTTCTTCAGGAGGCTGGTGATGAACCCAAGGTAAGTCAGTTCCTCATGATACGGCTGTCCAGTGTTATATTTAACAATTGAATACACCAGCATTATTACCAGTTGCATGGTCTATGGTTGACTTGTGTTGAGTCTGTTGCGGGGGGGGTTCACAGACATTTACTTCCAGGACTTCCTTTACAGCAGATGTTGATGACTACTTACAGCAGCAGGTTCCGAGGGCTCTATGCTCTGCTCTACTGAGTTGTAGACATGTGTTCCATGTGACATTGTCCCAGTGTAATTATCCCCATCATTAATTGACTAATGTACACCCTACAAGACTACAGCAGGCAAGGCAGTTGTGTGTGTGAAAGACGTGTTGGGAATGTCAGTTAGTCGGGTGCCATGCTTCGTGGGTGACTCTCTCACACTTGTTCCCAGTGTGCCACACTTGTCTATACAGCTGTCTGACAGTGATTATTATTGTTATTGTTCATAATGGTGCAAGAATTCTATCTTGAGGACTGAGAATGTCAGATGAGACATTATGTCTGGAAGTACCTCTCAGTGATGATCTTTACTGGTGTCATCATACCCGATTGTACATTTTGTAGATATTGGCACTGCAAACTATTGAAAACTGTTCTGTTCTTGTTGTTTTTGTCCCGATGTACTGTATTGGCTCCATCGCCATGGCGATACTGGATATCTAAGATCTGTTCATAGTGATACTGTATAAAAACCTTTAGGCCTTGTCTACATTGTATTGAGACTGATGGGTGGCTCCAAGTGTATGTTAGTATACAGGTTTGGGTTCTGTGTCATGGAAAAACAGCTCATGTTATTCACAGGATGCTCTGCTGTAACCCAGTTAGACTTGGCTCCTAGGATGCTCTGCTGTAACCCAGTTAGACTGGGCTCCTAGGATGCTGCTGTGTAACCCAGTTAGACTGGGCCTCCTGCTGGATGGGCTCTCTGCTGTAACCCAGTTAGACTGGGATCCTAGGATGCTGTGATGTAACCCAGTTAGACTGGGCTCCTCGGATGCTGTGCTGTAACCCAGTTAGACTGGGCTCCTAGGATGCTCTGCTGTAACCCAGTTAGACTGGGCTCCTAGGATGCTCTGCTGTAACCCAGTTAGACTGGGCTCCCAGGATGCTCTGCTGTAACCCAGTTAGACTGGGCTCCTAGGATGCTCTGCTGTAACCCATTTCGACTGGGCTCCCAGGATGCTCTGCTGTAACCCAGTTAGACTGGGCTCCTAGGATGCTGTGCTGTAACCCAGTTAGACTGGGCTCCTAGGATGCTCTGCTGTAACCCAGTTAGACTGGGCTCCCAGGATGCTCTGCTGTAACCCAGTTAGACTGGGCTCCCAAGATGCTCTGCTGTAACAAAGTTAGACTGGGCTCCCAGGATGCTCTGCTGTAACCCAGTTAGACTGGGCTCCTAGGATGCTCTGCTGGTCGTTACAGTGACGTACTAGATCAGGTGGTCAATCTGGTGGTCAGACTGGCCATCATGTGAGATGTAGATTGATGCTATAATCAGTCACTGGACTGCTTGGCCCATGCTTGATTATAAACAGGCCAACATTCAGCTCTAGTTCAGCACCAAATACAGCTTTCACATACACAGGTGAACCTACTTTGAGGGTTATAGCACATAGTTCCTGTAAGCACAATCAACAAGAACATTTCATTTCAACATTTTATTATGCCCTAGTACAAAGATATGAATATTCATAGTCCATTCAGTCAAAGCAAAACAAAAACTCATGATAATTAGTAAACAAAAACAACTGAGACAGTAAACAGCTTGTGAATGTACCATGGGCCCACAGCCCACATCCGCATGTCTTCGCACAGACATATTCTTCACTTAACCTTGCAACTTTATTCTCAGTGAATTCACAGAAATTTCAGCGTTTTTTCATTAGAAAATATAGTTCTGATCAAATTTAATGGGATTCGTTACGTGTTTTGGGTTATTTTAAATATTAAAAGAACAGCTTCATTTGGAATTGTACTGAAACATTTGTTTGGAAAAAAGTACCAACAATTTGGATGCACGATGTGGAGGGTTGTGGGCGCCCCCTGGTGTGTACCTGATGTAACAGATGAGATGTGAACTAGTAAAAAATATGGAGAATGTCTTGGAATGAGAAACTAGTACACTCATTGGCATAGTATGAGAACTAGTACACCCATTGGTTTCACGTGAATATTAGTACACTCACTGGTATAGTATGAGAACTAGTACACCCATTGGTTTCACGTGAATATTAGTACACTCACTGGTATAGTATGACAACTAGTAAACTCACTGGTTGAATAATGTAACTCGTACACTTATTGGTTGAATATTGTAACTCGTACACTTATTGGTTGAATACGGTAGCTAGTACACACACTGGTATACTTGGAAAACTTGTCCACTCAACTTGGTTGAATATCAGAACCAGTAAACTCATTGGTTGAATATGGTAACTTGTGCACTCTCATTGGTTGAATATGGTAACTTGTGCACTCTCATTGGTTGAATATGGTAACTTGTGCACTCTCATTGGTTGAATATGGTAACTTGTGCACTCTCATTGGTTGAATATGGTAACTTGTGCACTCTCATTGGTTGAATATGGTAACTGGGTTGAACTAGCATACACATTTGTTCAATATCCAACAAGTTCACACATTGGTTGACAGTGAAAGAAGGGAATTATCTAGAGCTGTTCACAGGCTTATATTCATGCCATGTTGTTTTTGCTGTAATTAATGGAATCCTAAAGAAAAAGAATGAAAAAACTAGCTTATATCATTATATTGAATGCAGTATTGAATTACCTTAAAATAAAATTAAAAGTAACCTTTAAAAAAGTCCCATTGTTTAGTTAGGAATTGTAGATAACTCCCTGCCTGGTTTGCCGCCACCGTTAATGTCTTGGAGGCAGGATACTGGAGATATGGGATGTAAGTGCTGACATCCTCACCGGGATATGCTTGTTACAGCTGAATACACCAGGAAGAAATTTCAGTTATAAGGTCATTTTCCGTATTTGTCTCTAAATGTCTTTTTCTTAATGTTTCATTTAGGATTTTGAATGCTTTTAGTTTTGAAATAGAATATTTGAAGGTACTCATGTGTAAATTTAAACATTAAATATTGACTGCATGTGTAAGTATGTTCACTTTCATGATGTTTTATTGAATAAGGAAAAAGGTTTGTCAGCTGTGAAACAGTATATATACTGAAGGGAAAGCAGGCTAGATAGCGGAGGGTAGGGATGGAAGCTGACACTGTGTGTGACACAATCCAAGTTTATTAGTGCATGGAGAAATGAGTGTGAGAGAAGTTAATATCTACATTGTAAGCTAGAATAATTTATGTTTTAATTATTTACACTCTCATAAGACGTTGTATTGCCCTTGTTTGAGCAAATCCTTCACTTCAATGTTATATGGCCGACATGCCAGTGTTCATAAATACAATGGATATGTACAACACATGGTATAGAAAAATAGGGAATGATCCTTATATCACAGACAGTATGGCATCATTTCATCAGGGGACATAACTCCGCTTGTCCTGATGAGCTGTTATTCTGACTAGACCATGATGTTTCTCATGGCAGGATGTTGATGATGGCAATGATGATGATGATGATGATGATGATGTATAGCACTAAGATTGCACATGTTGCCCGTTAACCTTATAGGGAGTACAACAGTGTTGTACGTCAGTGTCTGTTTCACATGAGTTGCACATTGTCAGTCTGTGGCACAATATTGTCACTATGTGTAGAAATGTTTAACATATTTCCTTCTGTGTCCATCATGCTCACATTAACCCCTCAGGTTTGAGTTCACTGAAAGGGTTAATCGTTCCCCTCGTGTTCACAGGCACTTGTGGTGACGTGTGACATTCATAACTTGCATATGACATGTTGATGATGGAGATTTCTCCGCAGCTGTTGATGAAGACAGTGTCAGATTGTGTGTTTCCAGTCACACTGACACACTGTATGGTGTGGACGGCATAGCGACAGCGTATCTATGACAGCTTGATCTAACGCACTTTGGCCTACCACAATACAGAGCAAGTTGAGTCTATGTGGCAGTATACATAGCAGCAGCATCAGCAGTGGTAGTAGTCAACCTCCACCTTGCATGCGTTGAAGTCACCGCTGCTGCGGAACGCTGGGTTTCGGTGATCCAGGAACTGATCTTTGTCCTGGTAGTAGCGTCGCTCTTTGAACCTGGAGGAGAAAAAGTCCAAATATTATAATAACGCCTAATACAGCTTACATAACACCCTAATCAGAGACCATCAAATATCAGATATACCCAGATCTTCTAAACAGCCGAGTCAGTGCTTGTCAGTTAATCCTTCGTGCAGTGTACAGTGTCTGTTTCATGGGTTCCAGTAAAGCCAACAGGAGAGAAATGGTTCGTAAACATTCTGTATGGATGTTTCAGGACTTAGTTCTTTATACACCATTATCAGGGCTCACATACATAAACACGACTTTCCCCATGGTGTAGACAAATGTATTGAAACCAAGACGTGGGAAAACAATGCATTTATCTTTTAGTATCATTAATCATGATGAAACTTTAATAATCAAACATGTAAGCGTGACATTATCACTCACCATTTAATGACGAGGAGCGTGAGGAGGATGATGAGGATGACGCTCAGGGTCCCGATCACACCACCAGCAATGGCTGCTGCAACAGACAAGAATTGTCATTACTCAGGTCAGCGTGTATTGTGTGAGGCACATTTAGCATGTACATCACAATTAAGGTGACAGCTGATAACTGATATATCATACATGAAGGCATAATAATCAATCTATATATCACATTCCAGGTTACTTGTAATGTATATATTACATTCCAGGTTACTTGTAATCTATATATCGTATGTCTGGTCACAGTTAGTGTGTGTTAGTGTGTGTGTGTGTTAGTGTGTGTGTGTGTGTGTGTGTGTGTGTGTGTGTGTGTGTGTGTGTGTGTGTGTGTGTGTGTGTGTGTGTGTGTGTGTGTGTGTGTGTGTGTGTGTGTGTGTGTGTGTATATATATATATATATCATACATGAGGTCCCTGTTGAAACTGATAATTAAGAGTTAGTTGACAAAAGACACAGCTGTGACTGACGAGGATGGAGCTGGAGGTTGACGAGGATGCAGCTGGAGGTTGCACTCACCGAATGGAAGGGAGGGTTTGGTGTTGCTCTGCGTGACGAAGTCGCGGTACACTGGTATGGGTGTGGTGGTCGTGGCTGCTTGTTGTGTCATGGGAGGAGGGTTGTTGGACCGGTCCGTCAGGATGGGGAGCAGTCCGGACGTTGTGGAGCTACCATGTTGTGTTGTAGATTTCTTTCCCCCTCCGATAACTTTGGTGGTGGTAGTAGGCAGCGGTGGAAAGGCTGGCAAAAGGAATGTTACATCAATGGTTGTGTCTTTGTGAGATGCTGACAAATTGATGGATGAACATGATGTGTTTTCTTTACATTTAAACTCTCAAGACTCACCCTCATGTCAGTGGTGTAATCATTATTTCACCATGTTGAATAATGTGTAATATACCAGTTCACGAGGTAGATCTTCAATGGGATGGTGTTGTAGTCTAGTGGTTAAGGCTTTTGCTTGTGAGTTCTCAGGTTTGATTCCCACCAAAGTACAACCCCCCTGACTGATTGAGTTCCAACTTACCTTCATAATACAACCAGAATCCCTTGCTCTTGCTGTCAGACCCAGCTTGCAGCTCAATGTCCAAGAAGTAGCTATACGACTTGTACGTGTCGTTGGCACGACGACCACACAAGGTGATGCTGTGGAACTTGTCATTGAAGTACATCCAGTCGGCACAGTCTGTCTTGCCCTTGGGCTCCAGATCCATGTCGATGATGTGGAGCCGGATCTGCTGGTTTGGAGCCACCTTAATGGAGGTCTTACAGTTCTGGGCCTTGTGGTAGTTGTTGGGGTACCTCGGGGTGGAGATGTACCCGTGCTGGGCCGTCATTTGGGGATGGCTGCAGATGTCTTTTTGTCACAGTGGCTGAAACCAAAATGTCGATTGTTATCTTGATGTTGATGTGTATCTTGTAGTTTGAGTTTGCTGGACATGGCTCCTTACATCATGTACTGTTACATTCAGACTACAGGAATCCTTGTCATGTTGATGGTCCCAGCTTACTCTTCTCCTTATTTGAAGATTATTAGGTGAACAGTTTATTTTAGCGGCAGATGATTATCAATTTAATGATTTATTGTACATCCATTTTTATTACTTTTGTTATTTAATGATTTAATGTAGTTTTCTGGGTATTTCTCTCACTGAGGTCAGATCACACATGTGAGGCCCACTACCACATGGTCAAGCTACTTATTCCAGGATAATTATTAGTATTCTTCATGTACATACCCTACTTGTCATGTTATACAGTTAAGGAACAGAAACATACAGCACAAAATACTGAATACTGTTGTATGTTGATGTTTAAAAACTAATCACTTCTGTTGAGTGACATCTACAGCTTTAATGTAAAATAATCAGAAATTGATATTCACAGAATATGAATATGAAATTAGAAATCAAATTTCACAAATACCTGTACGAGCAATGGTAAGATCTTATCATCCACTTATGCTGTGAAATAACCTTTATTCGTATGCATAATGCATCATATCGAAGCATGTTTTGGGAAGTGATTTTAAACCAGATTTAGAACAGCATTCTTCAGGATTCCTAAAAACTGTATTGAAGTTGGTTGAGATAACTGATGTCTGAGATAGTGCCTGTGTGTGATAATGCCTGTCTGTGTGTATTTTCACACCCTGAGAGTGTGTGGAATGGGTAATAATGTATTCAACAACACAACATGTACACATCTCTCTCACAAGTCTTCAGACAGGTGTTACAACTGCCCTTGTATGCCATTGCTACACACTTTATAAATAAGGAATGGGGCTGGTTATAAAGATTACAATCAGATTTGTACAACATGGGTTCTTGTAATTTCCACCTGCCTCGCCCTGCGCCCGCCGTTCCCCCATCCCCCATCCCCCCGACACATCCCTCTACCCAGCTGTCACAGTGCAGGTATGTTGCAAGGTGAAGGTCTGCCGGCAGCTGGCGAGTGAGTCGTGAGCTGGGATGGGAGCCTATTGTTTGGCTGTTGGCTGCTTGGGGCACAGCACGATGGTATTGTAAAACACACAAACATCTGTCAGTTCTCAAACATTTGGAAACTCTGCTATGTCATTTAGGTTGTTCCGTGAGGATCTCGATTAAATCAGATTCTTGGCAAAGAGGATTTTTCTCTGTTGGCTATCATTTATGCAAGTTTATGTTTATATAAATTGGTGAATAATTGAGTTGTTTTTTTCACTTTTCTCATTACAAGTTATATTCAGGTTATCATATAATATTATGTTTTAATCTGCTGATTTATATTTAAAATGTCAAAAATAGAAATGGAATATGTGAAAAGTAAAATGAAATGTAACAAATAAAAGGCATAAATTCATCATCTTTGACCAAACCAATCTCAATAATCTAAGTATAATCAAGACAAATTCATCACTTATTTGAATCATCATGCCAGCCTCCCTGCTTTGCCTGGAGATATATATCAACTGTTTCAGCATTCAGCATCAAGGACAGGAGGTAGTGATGAGAAATAAATATGTAGCGAATAATCTGTGTAGATTGTCAGAGACCCAAAACACCTGTGATGTAACACGGAATTAGATGCACAACGTCAGCTGGGAGCCACAAGCTAGGTCTGGGCTGGGAGCTGGCGCCAAATCCACTAATCTCAGAAAACATGGAGATAACCCTGCAGGTATCCACGGAGGAGAGGTAGTGTTTACCTCTGGCTCCAGGCCATGCTGGAGGGGAGGGGGGGAACCTGCATCGAGGGGGTATGGGGGAGGCCTGCACCCGATTGTTGGCTGTCTACACTGTAGTGGAGTACAGGAATAACCTACATAGCGCTGCCAGTCAATTTGTCACAACATTTACGTTCTGCACTAGTGCCAAATATACCCTCGTATTGACCTGTTATGCTGCCAATGTTGATAACTTGCGTCAGAACTGGGGCATTGCACTCTGGAGGGAGGGTACTTGTGTTTATTTCCTAACTTGATACAGAAGCTCATGTTGAAGCGAGAACTTTCTACACTTTGACAGCAAAGGTTTTTAGATCAGGTTATTTATGGGTTTGATGATTTTGAAAATGCAGTTCATATTTTTTTGACTTGGCAATTTTAAGGGGGAAAAATTTGCTTTCATGCCATCAAAATGTTGCATACATTATTACTTAGTGTGCAAAAGAAAACTTAAACTATCCTGAAATTTAATCTGTATAAGTTTGAGCATCAAGCCTGTACTTGTCTGAGATCTGGAATCCTGACAGCTAGGGTGTAAATGCTTCACACACAAACACAGAAAGTTCATGGTCTTAAGAATGTCGGAAGGAATGGGTAATAACCTACCTGGAACACACTCATATTCCACCTGGAAGTAGTTGCTATAGCGACCACACGACTGGATGAGGCTTCCGTAGGTCCCTGTAGGGAGGTTGATGCTGCAGGACTCCCGCCCCACACACGGGTAGTTTTCATACTCAGGGAGGGTGCAGTCCCCCTCTCTGTACTCGCACGAGTCCGTGGGGGAAAATCCATAGAATGCTTTAAGTATCCGCACCATGGCACCGGCGCCACACACAATGTCAATGGACTTTTGAGTACTGTTGAAACAAGCTGCTAGCCTATCACCTGAAATAATAAAACACTCCAGATAAGAAAATTATTGAACACTTGCGATAAGACAAGGTTGCCACAACACAGATTGACACGATTCATTGAACATACTATTGATTTTTAATATACTGATAATCTGTATTCGTATTTGTACAGCAGTGTTCAACACTGGGATCCAGGGCGTTTACTTCTGGTGTGTTGGGAATCAGGGGCCTCCTACCTGGGTTCCCTTCAAACTCGTCAACAATTAACAAAAGCATTTTTCTCCTATTCTGACATAGGATTGATAAATTAAGGCAGATGTTCATAAACAAGACATTATTGTCTGTTCATTCTAGAAACCTGAGTACGTTGTAAGGTGAATCTGGTACATATTGGGTGTAGGAATATTGACAGTTATCATTGTCTGTACAAGCACAATACCAGCATAACAAGCACAATACCAGCATAACAAGCACAATCAATGGTGTAAAGTTTACAATGATAATGAAGTTGGTGCCACATGGTGAAGGTGCACAGTTGTGGTGGTGCTGCTGCTGCCAGGGATGTTGTGGGACTTACCGTGTACTAGGGAGAGCCAGGAGATGAATGTGATGGCTGTCAGGACACACACGTTACTGTGGAGCATCTTCACTTGCTGCTGTTTACCCATGGTACACTTACATCGGTTGGTCCTGCAACAAGATGGGAGCAAATTAAACATTTGCCAGCTTCAAACACCAGTAGGAAACATGCTGCAAACACATGTATGTCAAACCAGTATTGATTGAAGCATTGAACGGTGCACTGTGCCATCAGACTGTGGAGTTAATGCAATGAATTGTGTGATGGTTTGTCAACAGTGAGCCGTGTCAGGTAGAACTCAATACAACACACAGGCCCCAATAAAATAAGATACAATGTGGAATGTCTGCTAACCACAAACACGACAAGCCCCTGCACTGTCAGATCGTAATCATTTGCCAAAAATCACAAGCTTCCTGTGGAAGAGCTGGGAGAAAGATGTGCCTGGCAGTAATTACCAACAGCCATCACTAACAGGGTTGGCTATGTCCTAGCTGGTTGGAAAACAGATGTAGCTGGTCCGAAACAAGATATGGGCAGTCCAAGCCCGGAGGTAGTTGGTTGTTGTACCAAGTTGTGTCCCGATGAGAATTGAACATATGTACACAATACCACAATCATAGGTGAAGACAACAGAAGGCGGTGAGCCAAGTTGCATGTTACAGAGCCAAGCAGTGAGTCTGTACTGTGTTATCTGTGTAGCTCACATCCACACAGTGTGTAAACACTGTAGTACTACACAGCTATCATCGGAGCCAAACACTCACCCTCTCTCTCTCTCTAAAGTCTATCGTGGACTGAATAACGTCTGCTGCCAGCTCCAGCTTTTATACCAGCAGGCTCGTGCCAGCAGATTGTGGCTAATTAGAGCAGCAGGGATGTTTACACAGGCTATCTGAGCCACCACTCGCTGGCCTGCCTGCGCATGTGCCGCTTCACTGGCCAATTCATCACCCAGCTTTCACTGTCCAGTAAGGAGCCCGAGGTTTCCTTTGATCTGCCAAGGTGTAACATTAAATCTGCATCCCGTTACAACTCATGGGCTTATGTGCTCATCCAATAGGAGACTCTGTTCCACCTGTCCTTTGCCCTAAATTACTCTTTGATGTTTGGCGTGTGCCGGTAACATGAAGGTGATAAAGGTCCTCAGCCCCCTGGTTGTTTGATAAGTGTGGGGTCTCCAGTCCCTGGCTCCCTACAGGAACAACAGAGGGGCCTAGTGTACAGCCCCAGGCAACACCTGGTCGTGTGCCGCCTCACAGCACTATTATCAGCTATAATGGGCTTTGTTGTTTTGGCCCCTTTATTGCACTCGTCTTTTGTTAGTTGAGGGGGTAAAGGAGGCGGGATTCACAAACAGTTCATTGTTTCGGCACACTCCCAACACGTGCCACAGGTACAGGCTGGAGATGTGGAGAGTGAGCTGACGCATGCTTGCTGTTATGTGACATGCTTCACTATCCTCTCTTAAAACATCATTCTTGTACAGCATGGGTTGGTGTCATTTAACTCACTGCATCACACTGATTGGGAGAAATACTTTCAAAGGCGGTTGAGTATGACTGCTGCTAGATAGAACTCACAATCCAGAGGAGAAGGAAGGTCTATCAAAGCTCATTCATTGTTCAAATCAGTAGGTGACATACTTAATAAACATCAATGAGTTCAATATTGATAATCACAATAATGATAATTACTTGCATCAGAGACCATTGTAGTACAGACAAATGTGTTTCGTCAGAGTTACACATGTTACACATCGTATTTGGGACGTGTTACAGTTTAATTACAGACACATGTGTGTTACTACACAGTTACATGTCTTACTACACAGTTTTATCACAGACACGTCTTACTACAGTCTTATTGCAGAAATGTTTGTTGATACACAGATTTATCACAGACACGTCTTACTACAGTCTTATTACAGAAATGTTTGTTGATACAGATTTATTACAGACATGTCTTACTACAGTTTTATAACACATGTGTTTACTGTGAAGTTTACACATGTGTTATGTGCAGTTTACTACATACATTATGTGTGTTACTTAAGTTTACTACAGACACATGTGTGTTACTGTGAAGTTTACTACAGAAACATGTGTTTACTGTGTAGTACAGACACATGTGTGTTACTGTGTAGTTTACTACAGACACATGTGTTACTGTGTAGTTTACTACAGACACATGTGTGTTACTGTGTAGTTTACTACAGACACATGTGTGTTACTGTGTAGTTTACTACAGACACATGTGTGTTACTGTGAAGTTTACTACAGAAACATGTGTGTTACTGTGTAGTTTACTACAGACACATGTGTGTTACTGTGTAGTTTACTACAGACACATGTGTGTGTTACTGTAGTGAAACATGTGTGTTACTGTGTAGTTTACTACAGACACATGTGTGTTACTGTGTAGTTTACTACAGAAACATGTGTGTTACTGTGTAGTTTACTACAGACACATGTGTGTTACTGTGTAGTTTACTACAGACACATGTGTGTTACTGTGTAGTTTACTACAGACACATGTGTTACTGTGTATTTTACTACAGACACATGTGTGTTACTGTGTAGTTTACTACAGACACATGTGTGTTACTGTGTGTTACTACACAGACACATGTGTGTTACTGTGTGTCACAGTTTAATACAGACACATGTGTGTTACTGTGTAGTTTACAGACACATGACTGTGTAGTTTACTACAGACACATGTGTGTTACTGTGTAGTTTACTACAGAAACGTGTGTTACTGTGAAGTTTACTACAGATACATGTGTGTTACTGTGTAGTTTACTACAGACACATGTGTGTTACTGTGTAGTTTACTACAGACACATGTGTGTTACTGTGTAGTTTACTACAGACACACTGTGTAGTTTTACTACAGTGTGTGTTACTGTGTAGTTTACTACAGAAACATGTGTTACTGTGTAGTTTACTACAGACACATGTGTGTTACTGTGTAGTTTACTACAGAAACATGTGTGTTACTGTGTAGTTTACTACAGACACATGTGTGTTACTGTGAAGTTTACTACAGATACATGTGTGTTACTGTGTAGTTTACTACAGACACATATGTGTTACTGTGAAGTTTACTACAGACACATGTGTTACTGTGTAGTTTACTACAGACACATGTGTTACTGTGAAGTTTACTACAGATACATGTATGTTACTGTGTAGTTTACTACAGATACATATGTGTTACTGTGTAGTTTACTACAGATACATATGTGTTACTGTGTAGTTTACTACAGACACATGTGTTACTGTGTAGTTTACTACAGACACATGTGTTACTGTGAAGTTTACTACAGATACATGTGTGTTGCTCACACGTCCTTATAGACAGACTGTATAGATGTGACATGTGTTACTGTAACATTACAGCTATGTGTGTTACTACATAGTTCTATTTCACACACGTTACTTTCTTCACAGTATGACACCCATCCTTCAGATTCTATCATTGTAAAACCTAGCAGCCTAATATGGACCATAGTTTACTCACAGACTCAATGCCGTCCCCAATAGTAAATCTCCCGATGTGTCCCTCTTGAGAGCCGTCAGCAAATGATTCCCATCTCCCAGCTACCAGCAGATCCCTGCCTGTACGTAGTGTGACACTGTGTCGATTAACCGCTAGAAATGCTATATTGAATTATTGATAGCTAAAGACTGCTGTGCGACTTATCTCGGTATGTTGAATCTACTCTTGCTCCTAGTGAGTGCACAGCGTGGGATATCAGTGACTATCTCCCGTGGAATATAAGACAATCCACCCTTCAGTCCCCTGGCCTCTGTTCCCTATTGCTATGAGTGTTATCACCAACTAATCATGTCTTACACCTGATCATCCGTACCACATGGCAGGACCTTCAATTGACTTGATCTCCGAAGTGGCCTGTCGTGAACACAGTTCCCATATCCCCCACCTGGCTACATTCAGATCCTCCCCAACCTCTGTAATGTCCCTGGTATGGCCAAGCTGATCACATGGGTAGGCTTGTGTTTCGGGGCATGTCCACACTAACTTGTACAGTTGTACATTCACCACTGTTATCTTCCATGTGGATATCAGATATCAGGTTTTGGTTCGTTTGTGTAAACTAAGCAGGTAAAGATCTTAAAATAAAATGTCAGTCGTTGTTGGTGGACAGGCATAGTTCTGGGGAAAGGTAGCTGCAGTTTGGAAATGTTTTAAGTTTTTTGTAGTAGATAATTTTGACAGCTTTTCACAAGATTTCATTCATAAACAGAAGTTTGATATATCCTGATATAACCAT